AGATCAGAGTACTAGTCTGAGTTTTAAAAAAAAGGGGTTGTGGGGACTATTTCTAATTGAAATCAGATTCAGATTCAATTAAACACACACAAAAAGAAAATCACTGGCACAATGCAGGAACAATGTAAAGGGGAAGAGGGGAGGAATGTGTGGTGGCGACTGCTTAAGTAGGAACTTCTACCAGAAAATCGTTTGTCAAACCATGTCCTGAAGGACTTTACTTTCTTCCAAGCCAGAACCACTCTTTGCTGTGTGTGCAGGTAGAACCTCACAGGCAGGGATTACACTTGCAGGACTCTCAGAGCTATTGTAATACCAAAAAATAATAACTGTTCCTACAGACTGACACAATTAACCAAATTCCACTCACAGATCATAGTTGGCAACTCATGCAGCATTTTATGTAGCTGAAGTTGAAGACCAGTTCTATTCCTGAGTTCCATCTCTGGCTCTAATGAGCCATAACTCTGAATAACTCTGGCATTCAGTTCACCTACCAGTAAAAGAATTACTTTCCTCACAGAGCTTTTGACATTTAACCAGATTTTTTAAATGAGCTTTGACATTCTCAGATGAAAAGAATAATGTGCACAATGTATTATTATAACAAAAACTGTATATGACAGATTCCTACATGTTTTCCTGTCTTTTGTCTCACCTTTCCTGTCACCATACTCCTACACGAGACTAATACACACCGTAAATGTTTGAGTAATGCCAACTTCAGACTAATGAATTGTAATTAATGCACTTGTTCTTTGCTGAGCAATGTTGTGTTTATTTTTATCGGATAATTTTTGGATAGAGACAGAGGTTACTCCCCCTGAGAGTTCAAATATCAATAGTGCTCTACATAACAAGGGAGGTTTTTAATGATTCCCACAAAAACGGCTGCCACTTGGTAACAAGACAATGGATGAAATACACTGAGTGTAAAATTTTTGCCTCTAGTGCTATTCCCAATGGACCAAATCTAGAAGTGATAGTCAAATTTGCTTAGGATTCAGCAAGAGTTTTCCTGCTGGAGGACTAAGGAGATGATAAATAAGAGTTTTAAGAATTGGCCAGAGTTAAAATCCTGGAAAGCAAACATTTATACATTGACTCTGTAGAAATGTCTCCCTTTTAATTTCCCTATGAGTGGAGAAGATGGAGAGGATATTCTGTATATCTCCTTGCAGAAGCACAAGGTACAGTTTTATCTCGTCCTCAACATGTCTGAAAAGCTTATGCCTCATGTTCAGAAATGTCTAAGGTTCCGTTGACTTCCAGTTGAATATTTTAAAGAGTATTTTGACTGCCTCTTTGCCTCTAGTATCTGGGAACAAGCACAGGTGTTATGTAACCATACATCTCTTCATGGAATTACAAGCAGGTGCTCTGCTAAGTTAGAGATGTTGGTGTAGAAAAAATAAAAGCAGGTTTAGCAACGATGTCTAACGGATATTTCATAAAAAATAAAAATAAAAACTAATACAAATAGGATCACTGTATTTATTCAGTGCCATATTATTAGTCACTGCCTGTTGTCTGTGTTACTGAACTGCTGTCCTGCTTCAAGGCAATTATCAGCCCCAAAATATTTTCATCCAAAGGTTTAAACTGCAACAACTGTGAGGACATGTGGAAGATTCCTCTGTCATTATCTCACCCTTCAGTTCTAACATGAATGCTTGACTGGGAAGGTCTGTGACTAGTGGAGATGAATAAACAGTTGGAGCTGGTATTTGTGTGTGCCAAACTGTGTGTGTAGAGCTGGGGAGGCTCAGCAGTTCCTGGGGGCTGTCAGACTGATCACACACAGCAAAGCAGCCCCGTGTCTCTGCCTGTGGCTCCCAGCAAGCCCTGATGTGCCAGTCAGGCTTTGCTATCAAGTACAAGCTTGTGTGTTCTTGAAATGTGCCTTCAACTCACAGGTGTACTCAGTAACTTGAAAGCTTTCATATACTCTAAAAACTTGTCTTGCACTCCAAGGGGAAATCTTTGTTCTTAATACAGAGCCCGAGCCTGCAAATTCTCTGTGGAAAACCAAGCTCCCAGCATAGATGGACAGTTGTTAAACATTTCAGCAATGGTAAAATGATCCTTGTTTAGTATTTCTCTACAATAATTTCCAATTCTTTGGGATGGAAGGCTGTGAAACCATGAGCTGCTATTAATTACACTGACTTACTTGCATGATTGTATATATGCCCATTTTGCCTTGCAGAAATACTTAGGGGGAGATTCACTCTTCTTTTTTTCACACATCACTGTATTATATTGGAGAGGATTTTAGCACATTTTCTGATTTCATTTGCCAAATTGGGGTTCAAGTTTACAATTTACAGCTGACTTGACAGTCCAGAAAGTACACATGATTACCAATTATGTCTCTGTCTTGTAGTAACATATCCAGCCAAGGAAAGAAATACTGGAGATCTGAGCCTTAAGGAACAAATACGAAATTTTCTTTACAAAGAAAGGAAATTGAGTTTGTTTAGTCAATTCATGAGGAAAATGTGCAATTATAACTGTACAATCAAACCCTCAACAGTTATTCAAGGACTAAAACTGCCTTAGAGGTTAGCTACAGGTCATGAAAATATTAGAAAGATTTGAAAGAAGGTAACTGAGTATTTATCAATAAACCCTCTACATTTTTGGGGTTTCTTTTGTTACTGTTTCAGGGATATTAAATTAATATTCTTCTAATATTTACATGTATTTGTATTATTTTAAATATTTATATATAATCAATATACCATTTTTTTGTTGATAATAGCTAATTTTAGGGTAGTAAAAACAGATCTTGGAAATATTTTTTAACAGTATAGCAGTTAAAATTCATGATTACTTGGTTTTAGGTAAATCAGAGTATCACTATAATCATGTACTTTAGGAATACCTGGTAATTTATAGACTAAACAAGGGGTTCTAGTAGGGAACTGACAGGTGCCACTTGTTCCTGCTTGGAATTAGCTTTCAAACTTGCCACCTGTATTTCAAATTACAGACCTTCAAAGACTAATCTAGAGAAAGACAATACAGTAAATTACAGGTGAAAAAAGAGGAAAAAAACCACAGCAGATACAACTGCATAGTCAAGAGACCCAAACGAAACAGGAAGAAAATCAAGCTGCACACATGAGTTTACCTTGTCTGAGTTGGAAGATATCCATGTTAATCAATCTTGGGAGATGCAGACAGAATAAAGAAAGAGTCGTCTTGCTGTGATGGGCTTCAGGAAGGCCTTGAGACATCCTCCCCTTGGGGAGGACTTGATAATCTTGCATTTATACAGTTGTGATGCTTTGCTTACCTTTTATGCCCAGCGGTTACAATTGCTGTATGTGAAACCAGAGAAGTAAGGGATGGCAGCTCCTCTCTCCTGCTGTTTGCACGGGGAAGCACAACACAAACCCTGCACATGCCACAGCCCTTGTGGGTGGCAGTGGAAGCAAGGACATAGCTGGTGGGAAGTGACAGCTGGGAATACAAAAGAAGAAAACAATGGGGATTTGGAAGCAACAGGTGGGAGCAGGATTCAGAAAAGTATAGTCAGGACTTCTGAGGAGGCAGGAACTAATCTGGGCCTCATTAAAAGAACAACTTGAAGAGGCAACACAGGAAACGAGCAGGAAGACTGTGCTAATGTTGTATGACTGGGGATGCAAATACAGACAGAAAATTCCTATTTCATCAAAATTGTACTTGTTTGTTAACCTGACCTGTATCCTAACACTCATCTGTGAATGATATGCTGCTGCTTTTGATAGAAAAGAGTGACTTGGCTATTCCTTTAAGAGCAAACACGGGCAAGCTGTAGCTGTGGAGCTGCACTGAGCTCTTCCATGACAGGTGGACAGGAAAGGGACAAAAAGGGTTATTTAAAGTCTGCCTGCTCTCGGTGCAGTGGCAGGTGTGCTGGCAGGCAGCTCTGTGACCTTCTGGAGTTGAGCTCCCCAGTAACTGAGCCGGATGTGACTGACAGGGCTCTGTGCCTTCAACACAGAATGTCCCAAGTTATTTATCCCAAGTTATTTATATGGGTTTGTTTAGTCTTGAGAAGGCTCGGGGGCACCTCATTGCTCTCAAAACCACCTGAAAGGAGGAGTGGGGGCCGGTCAATTCTGCCTTGCCTGCAGTGAGAAGCCTTAAGCTGAGATGGGAGATTCTGATAAGATATTTGAGAGAGATTTTTCACTGCCAGGGTGGCGATGCTTTGGAATAGGTGGAGTCACCATCCCTGGAGGTGTTCAGGCTCTGGTTCTGGGTAATGTGTTTTAATGGTATGGGAGTTACAGTGCTTGTACTGGGTGAACTCTACAGTATTGGACATGATCTTAAAGGTCTGTTCCAACCTTGGTGATTCCATGACTGCTTTGTGCCATGTCCCAGGTAAGGCAGGCAGCGCAGGGAGACCTGGATGTCCCATCCCCAGAGTGCGACAGGCTGGAAACGCGACCTCCCTCCCGACAGGGAAGCGCTGAGCCCACAACCGGGGTAACACCTCACGGAGAGGGACCGCAGCATTCCGAGCACCCCTTGGGGGTCGGGGTCCCGAAATCCATTCCTGCCCCGCGATGCCCCCCGGTCGGGGGAGGGGACGGGACCCATCCCGGCCGCACCAAGGGCTCGGTGCCCCCGCGGGCCGTGAGGGGACGGGACGGGACGGAACTCGCGGTGCCTCGCGCGCGCCGCCACAGCAAGGGCGCGCGGGCACGTGCAGCGCGCACATGCGCGGCCCCTCTCCTACACACCCCGCGCGCGCCCCCGCCCTCCCGCGCGCGCCGTCCTCTGTGTCTCCGCGCCGCGGCCACGCCCCCCCAACGCTCCCCGACCAATGAGCGCCTGGCTCGGGGCGGTCGGGGGGCGTGGCTTCTCCACGGCTGCGCACGCGGGACTTCCCCGGCGTGTGTGTGTGTGCGGAGAGCAGTGCGCCTGCGCATCGTACCGCCCGCGGCACAGCGCGCCCGGGGCGGGGGGCTCGGTGCGCACGCGCGGTGCGGCCGCCGTGGCCCGGCCGGGCGGAGGGGGGGGGCCGCGCATGCGCGCCGCGTGCCCGCCCCTCGCCAGCAGCAGAGGAGGAGGTGGCGGTGGCGGCTCTGGGCGAGGGAGCGCGAGGGGAGTGAGAGGTGCCGTTGCCGCTCCGGTATCCGGCAGGACCGCGCGGAGGAGGCGGGAGCGCCCCGGCGGCGGAGGGACCTGAGTGGCGGCGGCAGCAGCAGCAGCAGCAGGAGGAGTCAGTGCCCGGCCCCCCCCCCCCCGCGCAGCCCCGTTGCAGCCCCCCCCCCCCCCCCTCCCTCCCGCCCGCCCTCCGCGCTCCGCAGCCACCAACATGTCGGCGCCGGCGGCCAAAGTCAGTAAGAAGGAGCTGAACTCCAACCACGATGGGGCCGACGAGACCTCAGGTGAGGCCGCGCCGGGGGCGGGACGGGAATGGCGGCAGCCGGCACGGCCTCCGCCTCGCGCCGACCGCCATTTTCCCCCGCCGCACGGGCCGCGGCCGCGCCGGGGGCGGGCGGAGCGCGGGCCCGGCCGGGCGGATGTGCAGGCCCGGCGGCGGCGGGAGGAGGCCATGTTAGCGCCCTTTTGTCTGTGCTGCCGGCCCGGCTTCCCTCCCCGCGGGGCCGGGCGGGGGGCGCTGCGGCTCGGCGGAGCAGCGGGACCCCCCCGCCGCCCCTCCCGGAGCAGCATCCGCGGAGCCTCATTGTGCTCCGCCGCCGCCGCCATGATGCGCCGCCGCCTCCCGCGCCGGCCGCGGCCGCGTGGTGCTGCCGGGCCGCGCGGGGATGGAGCGGCGGAGACACGCGGTGCCGGGGCCGCCCGCGCTGGCCCCACGTGCGATCTCGGCTTTAAAGGTCGGGGTTGCCCTCGGCCGCAGCGCGGTCCCCACGTGCGTCCCCCGCGCCGGGAGAGGCAGAGCTGTCCCCCAGCGCGGGCCGGGCCGGCGGGACGCGCACCGGGCGCTGCTCCGCTCCAGCCGCTTCCCGCTGCCGCTCATTCATCTCCCGCGCGGTGGGTAAACAGCGCTCCGTAAGCCTGGCCTCGGCCAAACTTGGTCCAGGGGAAGTGCCCTTTAGAAAATACCTGCCAAACGGCGGCTTTCGCGTCTCTTTTATTTGTAGTTGTATTTTTGAACGTTCTTTTCGGTTTTTGGAAGGTGGTGTGTGCTCAGATAGGCCATTTCTATTGATATTCCAGCGCTCTGTAAATTACTTTGTGTTTCTTCAGATGTGTTGGTCGTAGCAAATGTGGCTTACAACTTTTTAGTTAAAATATTATTGGCTTATAATTTAAGTTGGCTTGTAAAACAGTGTAGCGGGATGTGAGCTGTGGGTTCTAAGGGCGAACTCAGTTTAAGGGCTGTTTTATCAAACTTTGCTGCACTTCAGCTGCAGCGCGCCTTGTGAAGCTGGTGCTTTGAGGCCTTGTAACTCTTGTGACATTTATTAGAAATACTCGAGAACTTCTACAGTAGGTCACTAGAGAATTTCTCAAAGAGAAACCTCAGGTGATTTGTCAGGCTTGTGAATGAAGGGATATTGACACATTTTCATCTGTTTTTCAGAAAAAGAGCAACAGGAAGCAATTGAACACATTGATGAAGTACAGAATGAAATAGACAGGTAAACATTATCTAACTTTTAAAATGTTTTAGCAGAAATTGAAATGTAGCCGACAAAAGTGAAAGTGTTGAGTAAAGGGAGCACTCAGTAGTACTCACTGTCTTTGAACTCCGCCAAGATATACCTGTGTTCTGACTTGATTAGAGACATTAAAATAACAAAGAAGTGTCCTGGTTTCTTGCTTAATTGTGTATAATTAAAGAGGTAGAACTTGAGTTTAAAATTTTTAATTAATTGTGGTATTTTTGATAATAGAAATGTATTTCGCCCTGGCTTCTCAAGTTAATGTGTAAGCTGCTTGGCTAAAGTATTTCCCTGTTAGCAAGCAGAACCAAACACTTGGCTGAAAAGTCAGCTTTTATTATACATTTTTATTATAATATTCATGTGCTTGTGCAGTAATAGACAGAAAATGTGTCTGAGGTGTTAATTTTGTATGCCAGAGCTCTTGGGGCTGTGGGTTCTGTGTCAGTCCCTGCCTGCATGTTCTCTCCATGCCCAGTGTCCTGCAGGGACTGCAGGTGGCTCTTGGGGCTGTGAATGTGTGAAGCTGTTGCAGTGTGAGGGCTTTGCCATTTTACAACAACAGCTCAGTTTTAAGTCTTCAGATTTTACTTGCTCAGGGTGCAGAATTTCTTTGTTGTAGCTTCCTTGCCTGCCTTAAAGTTTTAGGGGGCAGGTGATAGGGCTGTGTTACCCTTCTACAGGTTTTATGCAGGCAGAATGTTCAAGAGGTTCACACTGCTTTGTGTTTAGAAGGTTCCATTCAGACCAGTGAGATTGCTTCTGGCAGAGTGTTTTTTAACAGTTGTTACAGCTCTGAGCTTCTGGGGTTTTTGGGACACTTCATCTGCAGAATATGGCAGACTGGTCTTATCAAACTTTTAGTTAACTGCTCTGATGTGTCCTTAAATCCCAGTTCTCTTCTGTGCTTAACATGGCTCTTTCTCTTATAGACTGAATGAACAAGCCAGTGAGGAAATTTTGAAAGTAGAACAGAAATACAACAAACTCCGCCAACCATTCTTCCAGAAGAGGTCAGAATTGATCGCCAAAATCCCGAATTTCTGGGTAACAACATTTGTCAACCACCCACAAGGTACATTCTTAAGAGCCCTCTTTTTTTCCCCTGTAAATTCAGTGTTTGCTTGATTGTTATGTGAGTGTCTTAAATCTCTCAGGGTCTTGTGGGGTTGTTACTAAGCGTACAAAACACTTCCTTTCTGTCCTAGATTTCATTTTTTAAGCTTTTTCTTTCTTGCACTGGTTGGCCAAAATTTACTAAAATATTTCAATCCTAAAATTTCTTTCTGCATTTTAAATTGCAAGTTTCCCACTTTATTCAGTTCATTGGAAAGGTAGACAAAAAAAACCAACCAAACAAAATTGTTCTGGATGGTTTAGGTGTTTTTTTTACTGGGAAGTGAGCTCCTTGGGACGCCTGACAATAAACTTTCTACAAAACAAGTTTGTAGGCTGCTTAGATTGGGCAAACTACATGTATGAAAATCTGTTTCACAGGGAAGGGTGGGTATGTGTGGGTAGGCTGTTGGCTGGTAACTTGAAAAGAAAGAGCCACGAGGAGTTGGCTTGGACAGATGTGTTGCTTTTTAGATCTTCCTGGCTGTCAGTTTCCTGTGTTTTGTCTGCCTGTTTCATGACTTGGTTAATGTGGGATTCTTCCTTTTCTCTCAGTATCTGCACTGCTGGGAGAAGAAGATGAGGAAGCACTGCATTACTTGACCAGAGTTGAGGTGACAGAATTTGAAGACATCAAATCAGGTTACAGAATAGATTTTGTAAGTACTTTAAATGGTTCATTCATTTGTGATTTTGCTGTTTGTTTTTGGTTTTGTTTTTTTTTTATGTAATTGCATACTGGGTTGTAGTTTATAACTTGAATCTCTACAGTTACCTGTATAGTGCCAGGTTTGACTTGTTATGTGTGTTTCCATTCTCTGGGTTCTAACTCTTTGCTTTTCACTCTACAGTATTTTGATGAGAATCCCTACTTTGAAAATAAAGTTCTCTCCAAAGAGTTTCACCTCAATGAAAGTGGAGACCCATCTTCAAAATCGACTGAGATCAAATGGAAATCTGGAAAGGTAAGGATTGCCTCTGGGAGAGCACAAGTGTGACCAAGTAAAAACATTACCAAGAGCATTAGCTTGTCTCTTCCTTGGCCAGAATCTAGACTGTGTTGTGTTGTTAACTTAACTATTAAATGAAGAATTCCAAGGACAACAGGTTTAGGGGAATCAGATAGCAATGTGTAATCTTGTTTTATATTTTTCTCTATTTCTTTGACTTCATTTCCAGATGCCACATCTTTTGTAGAATTTACAGCCACAATAATGTGGGCATACCTGTCACCCAGGCAGTGTTCAAGAATCATTAATTTACTGCAGTTTGTTTCTGTAAAAGTTCTTCAGTGTTATCCTGAAAATTTTGATCTGAGTTTTTAAAAGTAGAGCTGAGGCTTGCAGTTAAATTGCAGCTTGTTTTGTCACTCTCAGACCAAGGAGAAAATTTAATGTTTTTCGTATTGAGAGCCAAAACATTTCCTCTTGTACCAGAAATTGCATTCCTGTACAGACCAGTTGTGATCTTTACAATAATGCACAAAATTAGTGTGAATTCTGCTTTGTTCTTCTTAAGCAGTCTAAACCTATAAATGTTGTCATTCTGTCAGGAGAAAAAAACACTGGAAGTGTGGTGTAACCATATGGTCAAAGAAATAATTAATTTCATTTCAGACTTAACAAAAAGATTGTTACAAATTTACTACTTCTTTTCTAGGGTAAGGTGATAGATACAGACCTTACATGTATTTTTGTGACCTTTTAGCAGTTTTTGTGGAGTTTTTTTGCACTTACTACAGAGAGTGGTGTGAAGACTTCAGAGTGGGAAATTGTGGGCAGAAAAGCCTAGGCAGGTCTTTATATCCAAATGCTGAAAGAGCTTAGAGGTGTGGGGACTTTATTAAACTGGGTGTATGTAGTAGTTGCTGAAATTACAACTACTCTGAGTGGCATTTAGACCTTGTAAGTTCAGTGTGTCATTAAATACTTGCCATACTTGTGTTTCCCTGAGATAGGGAAACGTAAATCAAATGTGAGATTATGTGAGTTTTCAGTGTTCCAGTGGAGGCCATTGAAAGAAACCAGTGGGTTTACTGTTCTCTCATGTTTATGAGAAATGCAGTATCTTCTGTCAGTTGTTTGGGCTTCAGACTTACCCTTGAAGAGGGAGAGGAAAGTGACTTCTTAGGGTTGTTTAGACAAGTGCATTTTTTAAATGGTGCTTGTAGGAAAAATATGCCATAGAAAGGTGACTTTAGGGAACTTCTTAACTTTCTTTTCAGGACCTGACAAAACGTTCAAGCCAGACACAGAACAAAGCCAGTAGGAAGAGGCAGCATGAAGAGCCAGAAAGCTTCTTCACCTGGTTCACTGACCACTCTGATGCAGGGGCTGATGAGCTAGGAGAAGTCATCAAGGATGACATCTGGCCAAACCCCCTACAGTACTACTTGGTAGGTACAGCCCTGAGCAGGGCAGTGCACCCACAGCAGCTCTGGGAAAGAGTGAATTTGATCAATGTATTGATGTTGCAAATGTGTCTTTAAGGTTCCTGATATGGATGATGAAGAAGGGGAGGGAGAGGAGGATGACGATGATGATGAAGAGGAGGAAGGATTAGAGGATATTGATGAAGAAGGAGATGAAGATGAGGGGGAGGAGGATGAAGATGATGATGAGGGAGAGGAAGGAGAGGTGAGTAATCTTGCCCTTCGTGTGGTGTTTGAGAGGGATCTTGTAAGAATACCAATTGTGGCAAAGGTGAACTGGCTCTTTTCTGCACCCCAAGGTGTGAGAACTGTGACTGAATTAACTTGAGTGCTTTCAGGTAGCAATAAGTGTGGTTGTGAATGTGAGAGACAGTGGAAGCACACAGTTTCAGTAACTTTGTAAGGGAAGTGCTCTAGGAGAACTAGGATGTGAGTGTGACAAAATTCTTGCTTCATGACTGAGTATTCTAGCAACACTTTACATATAAATGGCTTTTGTTGATACATCCAATCATCCTTCCCACTTGTTGGTTCATTTCTGCTTATGGCCAGCCTAGCTAAGACTTTCTGCTGGATTTAGGAATGAAAACTTTGCTTTAGTAGTAAGTGGGATTTCAGGTTCAGCATCCAGGGTGTTGGGAAGTTAGTTTAGAATGTCTTTGTTTCTTGAAACTGGGTGTGGTGTGTCTGACTTCCAGCAGCACAAACCACGTGCAGGGAGAGGAGGGCTGTGCTGGGTTCTGTTCTATAACCTAGAATTTGGCATGTGAAAGGTGAAGCATTTTGTTCTTTACAGTTTTAAATGAGGGGGAAAAGATGACCCCTTCATTTTCCACATGTTAAGCTTGTGTCAGTGCTTGTAGTGATTCTAAGTCACAGCTTCTCAAAGCTCTGCTGTGTTTTCCTTGGGACAGCCAGGGAGTGAGTGATTTCTGTGTGGTCACTAGCTGGGCACCCAGGGCAAGTGTTACCATCCTTTAGTGAGGGAACAGATGATCAAAGAGCACCATGAGTCGCACTTTAAAAAGTTCTGGTCACTGCATTTGCTATCTGAAGTTTAGTGATTAGATTTATTTAATTCTTGCTTATCTTTCAACAGGAGGATGAAGGAGAAGATGACTAATTGAACACTGATGGATTCCAAACCCCCTTTTTACCTTTTTAATTTTTCTCCAGTCCCTGGGAGCAAGTTGCTGTCTTTTTTTTCTTGTGCTCAGTCGCCTTGTTCTCTTGAGGTCTCTTTTTCTCTCCTCTACACCATGGTTCACAATTTCTTTTGGGGAAATATCTTGAGCAGAATACAGTGGAAAAGAATCTACCAGTTTCTGTTTCAAGTTCATTTTTATCCCTTTCTGTCTCAAAACAAAAACTGTTTATGAATTCAACACACCATGTTCTGTGGGAAAAAAGAAAACCTTCTGCTCCCTTCACTCTGCTGGAAGCTGAAGAGTGCTAGGCCCCTGTGTAGTAGTGCATAGAATCTAGCTTTTTTCCTTCTTTCTCTGTATATTGGGCTCAGAGATTACACTGTGTCTCTATGTGAATATGGACAGTTAGCATTTACCAACATGTATCTGTCTACTTTCTCTTGTTTAAAAAAAAAGAAAAAAACGACAAAAAAATAAAAATAAAAATGGGGTTATAGAAGGTCAGCCGGGGTGGGTTTCAGAAGTTTGGGTGGGTTAAGTGGGCATTTTGACAACATGGCTTCTTCTCCTTTGGCATGTTTAATTGTGATGTTTAACAAACATCCTTGCAGTTTAAGATGACACTTTTAAAATAAAATCTTCTCCTAATGATGACTTTGAGCCCTGCCACTTGATGGAGAATCAGCAGAACCTGTAGGATCTTATTTGGAATTGACATTCTCTATTGTAATTTTGTTCTTGTTTATTTTTAAATTTTTTTTGGTTTGGTTTTTTTTTTGGTGGTTTTTTTCCTTTTTTTTCTTTTTGGTTTTTTTTTTTTTTTTTTTTTTGTTTCACTGGAAAGGAAAGAAAGATGCTCAGTTTTAAACGTTAAAGTGTACAAGTTGCTTTGTTACAATAAAACTAAATGTGTACACAAAGGGACTGGTTGGTCTTCACTGAAAGAAACAGCTTTTATATCCTATTTAGAACTTGCTGTAGTTTCTTGGCATTTTTGGGGGCATTTTGTCAGTATTTCTGTAGTGCAGTGCAGCCTTGTGGTTGTGTGGACTGAACCAGTTCATGTAGTTCCCACTCTTTCAGTACCTGTAAAGTGTTTCCTGTGGTAGTTCCTACTGCACACTGACTCTCGAGTTCCTGTAGGGTCATGTGCTGTGTGTGAAGACACAGGTATATATTCATGTTTGGCAAAAAGGAAAGTCACTTGATTTGTAGAATTTTTAGTAATTTGCAGTACTGTATCTCCAGTACATCAGTTTGCATGAAAATACCATGCAAGCTCAGAATAAAAAGACCAAGGGGTGGTTTTAAAATATTTGGGTGGTTTTGTAAGTCTTTTCAGTTGAAAACAAATCTTAATTGCGAGCTAATTTGGGGGCTATTTCAAAGAGCAAGATTCTTAGTAAAGTTCATGTATAAAAAGTTGCTACTTCACTGCTTTTTTTTCCTTGGTAGCAGCATGTATATGTGCTTTAGATACACTGTACTCTCATTTTAAGAGACTGCATTTGAGAAACTTGTAACAATTTCACATAAGAGGGTGTTGGAACTGGTATTCCACAAAATGTAATGGAAGTTGTTTTAACATGCTTTGCTTTTAAAATATTTAAGAAAAAATGTTCTATCAGCTCATCTGAAATTCAAACAGCTCTTTGGATGTGTAGAAAAGACTGTCTTCTGGGAAGACTTGTTATATTCTCTGATTCCTTTTCCTCACAGAATTTGCTGTAGTCAAATTCAGCTTTTTTTGATGCTTAAGAATACACTTGGCAGAACAAGATCAATGTCTGGTTGAGACGTGCACAAATAACGTGTGAGGGAAAACATTCTGTAAGTGTGTGGTCCAGCTTGGATTCAATCCAGTTATCAGAGACAATGCAACGTCCAGTCTCATGTGATCAATGCAAAAATAAGACAACCATGTACTTTATTCCATCTCAACAAAAGCTTCTGCCCTCATCCTGCTCTGCAGAGCCAAGTACAACGTTGATCAGTAATGGTTTCTTACCATCTAGAGAGAGAAGGAACAAAACCCATGAAGTCCTATAAATTTTAGTGTTTTTTAATTTGATTCCTTTTTGTTGTAAGATTGAAATTAGCTTCCTGTTGTGGTAGAGGGTCGATGTGCTGTTTCTTGCCATGATGCCTCATTACTTAATTTTTATGTAGTCCTAATTGTAGTTCCTCAAGGAAAATTATCTTTTGCTAGTCTTGAATGCTTTAGGAAAAATATTGTGCCATTGTTGTTCCATCCCTGTTGGTTACTAGCAGAAAACTTATAAAAAACTGTTTTGAAAGTAATCAAAGCTTCAGGCTCTGTAAAGTCAAATACCAGGAACAAGAAATGAGAAGTCTGGATAATTAAATGCTACTTAAGAGATTTTTCTTGCGCATTCTTTAGGATTTTACAGGGTGCCAAAATACTCTTGCTACTGTACTGATAATACTGAATTTGCTGTGAAACTTGAGGGTTTACTCCTGGCAATGGCTAAAGAGTAAACTGACATGGTAAAAGAATAAACCATATTAGTTAAGTGTTATTTTAATTATTTTTTTCTAGCATGGAAATGATTAGGGAATAACACATTTCTCTGCAATGCTCAAGAAATACTACAGCTGGCCATTGTGTGCTCTGACTGTTCACTTAATGTCTAATTTGGCTGAATATATGTAATGGGTGTCCATTTTTTACTGAATTTATTTTATATGTGTATAAAGAGCTTTTTAAAAGACATCTACCTTGGATAATAATGGAAGATGCATTCTTATTAAATATCATTAATTCCCCACTGCTTGAGTTCCTCACATACAGTTAATTCCCACCATGTGAAATTTGTCACAGGTGGTAAATGACTTCAGGTTTTTTGGCTTGAATTTCCAGGGCTAGAACATAAGAGTTGGCAGCAATTTTATAAAGCTGCTGTGCTGGGGCTATATGGCCTAACTATCTCAAAGGTTATTTTTAAATTTAATTGCTATAAAATGGAATCTTTTGTCTGTAATTTCTCGTGCCAAAGGAAACAAATACAGCTGAGTGTGTAAATACAGCCAGGAAGGTTTGGGGTTTTTAAAGAGATTATCTGTGTACTTATTCATACTTGTCAACATAGTTTCTGTCCCTGTAAACAAGCATTATCTGAATCGATTTCTCAGTCATTTATGATATTCATTTGAATCTGTAAGCTCTTTGTACCACACTAAACCAGGTGCATAAGGATAGTTCTTTGTTTATTGGATACTGTTCCTGAATTTTGAAGCCATGTTGTTTTTTGTTTTGGTTTGGTTTTTTTGTTTTTTTAAAGAGAATGAAATCAATGAAATAATTTCTCTGCTGTACCTTCAAGCTATCCTTCTGTTTGAAGGAATTAAAATACATTTAACTGTTACTTGATGTTACCATTTTCTAAGAGTCTTTTTCAAAAGAATCAAGTTTTTTAGTCCCAGACTCAAATCTTTAGTCCCAAACACAATCTTTCACGGGTGACGTGGCCAGTGCTTGCTTTTCCTTTATGGAGAAGAGCGAGGGGAGGTCGCAGGTGACTGGTACACGACACTTGCTTCCTGCGGGAAACAGATTTATGCTTTATGTCCTTCCTCCCTCTCCTGCATTAAAAATTGAAACTTTTAAGACTTTTTCTTAATCATCACCTTTTCCGCGTGCTCTCTCGGGTATAATTGAGGACAGGGGCTGCCGGTTCAAGGTCGGGATGCACCTTTAGCCCCCGCCCTGCTCCGGGAGCCCCCAAAGAGTCCGCGCAGCTCCCGGGCCGCTGCCACCGCCCCTTGCCGGCTCCTGGGCAGGACCTGCACCGGGATCATCCCCGGCACCGGGGCTGGTGCCCTGCAGGATCCTGCTCTGCCTTGTGACATTTCCCTTCCCGCGGGACAGGGGCTGCCGGATGGGCAGGAACTGCTGGTCCCACGTACCGGCCCCCTCTCTCCGCAGGATTTGTGGGACACAGCTGAACCAAGCCCGGGGAAGGGGGCTGGGATATGGGGTAGCCAGGGACACTGCCTTAGGGTCACCCGAGAGCTGAGAGCCAGCCCTTTCCCTCCAGGCTGGGGAACTCCAGCTCCCCAGCACCCCTGAACTGCCCCCTGCCCTTCCTCTGCCTCCCCTGGACTGTCTGAGACCTGAAGGAAAGAGGGGGAAGCTGCTGTAGGAACCCCGAGTGTGTGGTGGGCAAAGGACCCCAGCCCAGAGCCCCCCAAGCACATCCCCAGTGACAGCCAAACACAGCCTTGGCCCGATCTGCTGCAGCTGTGGAAACATCCCTGCTCCTCTGGAACTCAGTCTACACTTGCTAGTTTGATTTTCCCCTCTCCAGTATTCCCACTGAATGAACAGTCAAATTAAAATAATTGCTTAAACACTAAACAGAGCATGGACCATGTTCTAAATAGCATCAGGTTTCTAAAGGATTTATATTAATCAAATGCACTTGCTTTATTAACAACAGGGGCATATTCAAAGGCTTTGTATTAGTTTAAGGCTTTATTATTTCAAGTCAGTTAAGCTAGGTTCAAATTTTTAATTTTTAAATTTTATCATGAGTTCCTTGTATTAATTACTCAGTTGCAAATCACAAAATGTTTAGGCTAGAAAAACTTTTCTAATTAAGTAAAAAGAACACACTTCTGTTCATTAGTATATTTCTGAATTTGTATATGGGAAGACTATCACCTTCAAATGCCTTCTGATTCACAGTTGTGCACTACTCCATGATTGAAAAGCTATTAGTAGGAAAGTAACATTATTTTGTTTAACGCACTGGGCTTGTGACACACAGTCTGTTCTGCGTGATGCTGTGGCACTACTGCAGCACGGTGTTTTTTCACTACGGTAGCCAGGGGATTGCTGCCAGCCTCGCCAATGCATGTGGGACGTTTTTACACTCAAATATTCAGCAGAAACTGCGTGTGAAGTTCTGCAGGGGAAAACGTCCCCAGAGCCCAGCATCGCCCCGTCCCAGGGATGGGATGCAGGGATCCCGTCGCAAGCAGAGCTGCGCTTCGCTGCTTCCCCTTCGAGCAAGCGCCGGTCACGAGCCCTCGTGGAGAACTGAAACCGGGAACGACCCGGTGGCCCTGGCACAAAGGGCCCTGCTGGGGCCACCGCGGGGCTTTCTGCTCCAGGCTTCCAGAGGGACGGAGCGGGGATCCGCCACCGTGCCTGCCGTCCCCTCCCCTCCGTGCCACCGCGGGCACTGACCCTTCTAGCCTCTCTCAGCCTCTCCTTCCCCGGCGGGCGAGGTCCGGTACCTCCGCGTCCGCTGCGTCCTCGCTCCTTCCCGCCGCCTCACCGGACCTCGACCGCGCGTTCCCCCCCGGGGCGGGCGGAGGCGGCGGCGCCTCCTCAGCCGGGGACCGGAGCGGCGGCTGCCCCGGGGCCGTGTGGGGAAGGGCGGCTCCCGCTCCT